TCATTAATAAATGGTGATTTGTTTAACACTTTACAAGGCTCCCTTTTGGCAGTTATAAACGTTAGTAACTCATAAATAAATGGTCATAAAGAGATGCCAAGAAACATCAAGATGGAAGGGGGGGAATCAACTCAGTGAACAACAGATACCAAGGATTCTGGCTGATGAAGAAGACGAAGTAAGCTAGTGGCACTACAAGATGACTGAGCCTTATATTGGCACTAGTGCCAATATAAGGCTTAGTCATCTTGCCAAATAGTGAGCCTGAGTTGATATGAAAACTATATTAGAACTGGTTAATACATGGTTCTTAATGATTAAAACAGTGTTTACAACCTAATTAATAACCTAATTATAAACCCTTTATGAATCCTTTATAACGGTAGTCTTATTGTAAAGTGATACCCAATTAAGTGCTTGGCTTAATCTAACCAATGGAGCAGTCTCTTTAGAAACACAATAATTGAGGAAATGTACACAATCATAGTTTTTGGGACCAATAAATGTTCCATATGCAAAAACAAAATGTCTTTCTGCAATTTAGAGCAATTTAGGGGGAAGAAACTAACATAGAAGATTTGCATTTTATTGTTGATCTTAACATCAATCATCACAACGAGATTTTACTTTCAGCATGTTAAACAGGAACATTTTGGACTACTGCCCTTTTGGGACTGGACATTTAGAGGCATTTGCCCTAGTTTGAGATGTATTTTGATCAGGTCATACTCTGACGCTATATGGCAATCAGCAGGAATGCTTTAGGGCACAAGCAGTCTGCTTATCGACATTTAAAGGCAGCATGCTCAGGAAGTCCCTCATCAGGGGAAAAACGCGGTTTGTGTGTGTGTGTGTGTGTGTGTGTGTGTGTGTGTGTGTGTGTGTGTGTGTGTGTGTGTGTGTGTGTGTGTGTGTGTGTGTGGGGGGGGGGGGTGCATTTCCAAAGAGATGCTGAGTGAGCAAGTGAACGAGTAAGAGAGAGGCAGGTCGATCTGAGATTTTTCCAGCTGGGCAACACTCTTTTGAAATGCCTGCTGCATGCAGATGAACTCTTACAGGTAGAAAAGCTGTGCAGCGTGAGAAGCAATGATTATAATAACCTCCATAAACTAGGGCACACAGTGTCTTACCCAATTCATCTTTTACACCCTTAACTGTTTATGCTGATACAATATAACAAATTATTCTATGACAGAAGAACATTATTGCTTAGCACAACAATGCATGTTTTAATTTTTGATTATTATTATGTATTTATATATTTACAGTATATTCAATCACAACTACAGTATTACAGCTCATGGAGGTGGAGCAACCTTTTTGGTTGGATTATTCCTTAACAGTGAATCATATTGCATAACATAATCACATACTCAAATTTCAAAAGCAAAGGGTGTACCATTAGGACACTGAGTTAATCATCTGTGTCCTTAATTTTTCTTTGTGAATTTGTGTGGGGGGAATTACAAGAGTACATGTATTTAGTTACTTTAAAAGAGTAGAGATGACTAAGCTGTGTATCATAATGGTTCAACACAGAAAAGCTAAATTATTTAATGAGCAGGGGGATCTGCTCTATGTTCACAGACACAATACATTGTTCTCCTTCTTTACTTTTAAATGCATTATAGCAACTGTACATCATAATATATATAGCAATGTTAAAGCGTATTAACCCATGCCTCTTGACCTTAAATCTCTGCCCACATCTCAAATGTCGCCACTCCAGTGTGAATACAAAGCAGAGTTTTATAAGTCCTCATGAGCAGTTCACCAATGAGCCACCGGGGGGAGAACACAAACTACAAAAACCTATTGCTAAGAATGATTTATATATTACTGATGATCTTTTCTGGACAAGGATGTTTTTTATCTTTTCAATTGTTTCTTGCTTGTATAAGTATTTTTAATGCTGGCGGAAGATACAGTAATGAATATATAGTAAAGGGAATGGAAACTGAATGCATGCAGAGGCTCAGTGGTCAAGAAGGTTTAGGGTGTGAATGTCCGTGAACTTCCTGTTTGGAGTTTTTGTGTGTGTGTGTTTTCTCCCTCGTCTAAGAAATGCTGATTAGTTATCTGGAACCTCTGATTTGACCATGTTGTTTTTCTTTTTAGGATAATTCAATCAAAAGATTCTGCCTCAGGCTTTAGCCGCCTCTGAATCTAATAAGTTAGTGTGTATATAAAAAGGACAAATAGGCTAGGTCTGCTTTTAAAAGAAGAAGAATCTGACCCTACGTGTTTAGGCTGCCTCTCCAGCCTTGTCATTGCTTATACCATAATTTCATCTCAACTCAACAGCACTTCAGAAATGTTCCTTTTCTTCAGAGGTATGAGAAGGCACAGGAAATGAATGCAATGCTTCCAGCCTGTCTGATTCAGTCTTCAGATGACCTGCATAAATAGCACATTTAGCTGTATGCAATTTACCCAGTTTCAAAGATTCACTGTTGTATATAGTCTGCAGAAAGCCCTTTTTGGGTAAATTTTCTGCAGATGAAAGCAATGCGTACAATGGTTTTGTTATAACCCACCAGGAGAAAGAAACTGTGTCTGAAATGTCTCCGAATGAATTTCACACATTCAGGCTTTGGAAAGTGCCTCAATGACTTGCTTTAGCAGAGATGATACGAGTTTTAAATACCTTAACATTTGATTGGGAGGCTGTGGCGCAGTGGAATTGTGCGTTGGTGTTTGGATCAGGGCAGCACAGGTTCAAACCCCACTGCAGTCAGCCTGTCGTTGTGTTGCTGAGACACTTCACCCCAAATTGCTCCTATGGGGATTGTCCACAGTATTGAGTATGTAAGTCGCTTTGGATAAAAGCGTCTAACAAGTAGAATGTAATGATTGGGTTTCATGAACAACATTTGATCATGTTTTTATAATGGGGCCTGAGTCTTGAGGTTATCCATCGATTAAATAAACCCTGAAAACTGTAAATGGAAATGGAAAGCACACCTTGAAGAAGTTGGTGTATGTTTAACAGAAAGCAAAGATAACTTTAATTTGAAAATAATGTGTGTTCATATTCAAAAGTTCAACATGCAGTATGTTACTTCCAAAGCATGAAATAGATCTCTTCTTTTGCAGCTGAGCACAATTAAAAAATACAATTACTTAAGATGTTTTTATATCAATCCTGAAAGAGATTAAATAGATAACACATACATTAGATACATTACTATATGAAATGTGTTTGTTTTGTGAGATTTATCAAAGCTACGTGAACCCAGTTCAAAGAGACAAGGTGTGAAGAGAACTGAGGCAAGCAGCTTGATGATGAACTCTCTGCAACCTCCCAGCTCTTTGCAAGTTGCTTCTATACATCAGCTCCCACCCATTGATATCAGCACTTCATGGCTTAAATAATTCAGCAGAATATCACGGTGCTACCTGGTTCTCTGCAGATACTGGCATTTGATTATAATGAGACACAGCAGAGAAGCAAAATAGCACATCCACCAGTTAACATTGAGATTGTGTAGATTAAATACAAAAGGCTAAACAGAAGGTGGTGCAATAGTTAAAAAAAAAAACGTTAACACTGCAAAAATGTTCCTTTTTAAACAAGTAAATCGTGTTATAATAAGAAAAACAAGATACAGTGAACTGTTGCATTGCATAATCCTTTAGGAATAGAAATAAATTGCATGACATCCTCTATTAGCTACATGCATTTTTAAGCGTAAATAAAGTAATTCATGTTGGAAAAGGCTCAAAGGCATCCGAGGCAGAGCTCCGGAAAATGGTTTCACACTATGATCAGCTTTGGGCTTTTTGCTCGTAATGGATAATATTAGCATCAAATGTCTTTTTCTTTTTCGGAGACTGCAAATGATAAACTATACAGTTACTGTATGAACAGTGTCTTCCCTGCGTAGCATCACAGTGTGTCGAAGTTGTGGAAAACAAGGGTGAAATGAAAAAAGCCACCTGCCCCAATCTCCATCCCACTATGAGTGTGTTTCCTCCCTCCTACAACATGCTTTAGATATCTAGAGTCTCTTGGGACACAACTGATCTCTCATGGACATGAAAAAAGAGCTGTAGAGAAATATCAAAGAGCATATCTGAATCTGAGAGAGAGGAGGAAATCACTGGCTTTGTGAGTCGAGTGTGAACCGGTGTGAACATGAATGTGTGCCTAATGGACGAAAAGTGTAACCACTGCTTTGGAGCTGCCACATGTTTTACGTGGGGATTTGTTTTGTGTAGCTTTTGTGTATTGGTATATGGATGATAGTAAATTGCTGAATTGTTAGAATTACTTTAAAAAGGACCAATTTGAGAAAAGGTGGCACAAAAAGAAGAAAAGAGTGAATGCAACAAAATCACATAATGGTTTTTGTAAAGGAAATTGCATGAACAATACATCTTGGACTCAGTACAAAACAGTGCATCATTGTTGTATTGATTCAAGTCTCTATATATTGCCTATCATTTAGAACGAAAATCTGAAAAAAGTTTTCTTATACACTTTTCTCCAGTTCCAATTTGCTGCTTTTGACAAACAGCAGATATTCAACCTGGACACAATGTATGCAGTGCGTCTGAACATAAGATACACGTCGCAGTTTATCAATTACCCATGCAGAGAAATTAAGACTTAGTTTATAACTTTCTTATAATATAACACGCTAAGTTAAAAATTGTACTGCTTTATGCTAATTCAGATCCACTTATATTACACTTATATGAATATCCAAAATGTTTTTTCTCATAACCTATTGGGATATCTTTCTAGTTAAGAATCATTGTAATGCAAACACATTGGGGAAGAAAATCTAACCTCTTGAACTACAGTTTCCAAGTCTTTATTCATGAAACAGAGCTGGAGATGCGTTTGAAAACTTCTCAATCAACTGAATTTAATAAAGGGACCTTTATTATTGACTCTGTATATGGTTTCAGAGGATCAGGAATAAATATCAATACGCATATCAGCAAACATTCTTGACCCTAACTATCCAAAATAAAGAGTTTCCAACCAATTCTGCAAATCAAACAACTTCGACTTTTATTCAATCCATGTAAGGACATCAGAGATGCATTTTGAGACAATCAAGAACATGTTATTAATCCAGTGCAGTTAAGATAAGACATTTTTTTTTTCAACTGTCAGCTGGGTCATAAATCTTCCCCCTCCGTTTGAGATAAGGCCTCTCTTGGCTCCTCAGACTGTGGTGACTCTCATGACCAGCTCTCTTGTGCTGTTGCTGGGCTGGCTGCGGGGCTCCGGCTGCCTGAGGTTGCTGAGGAGATGGAGGATGTTGTAGGGACCGTGTTGGTCTGGCACTGCGCTGCTGTTGGGATCCAGATGTGCTCCCTGTCCTCCTGCAGGCGTCACCGCGGTGGTAGAAATGGAGCCATCGGCTGTGGAGGCTACCACCATCAGCGAGGAGGTGGAGGTGGACACTCCAACCCCAGTTTGGTAGCCTGGGCTGGGCTGAGACACAGTTCTATCCACAGCTTTCTTCAGGTCCTCATTGTCCATAGACTTGATATAGTTCAGGACTTTCCACTGCTGGTTCACAGCCTGCCAGCGGTGGAAGATTCGAAACACAGAAGGTCCCTCGTGGACGATTAACGCTGCGGAGATCAGAGCATCAATTAGACAATGTCACTGCCTGGCAGCCGTCTTAATGACACCTCAAAGTGATATATATCTCTGCAGTGGGTGCTAAAGGCTGCAGGAAGTATTAGCTGAGGGATTAGCAGACAACAAAGCAACGTATCTTTCCAGTATGGCACCATAATCCTGAGATAAGATCTTTATTTCTTGGAAAAATTGTAGACGTGGCACAATTTATGACACAGTAATACTCAATACTTTTAGATTAAGGTTAGCAAAAGTGGTGCATCTGTTCTCTGGGGTTGTTTGATAACATCTTATCTCATTTTAAAATTGCTTATTGATTAATGTTCATTGAACTCGGTATCTGGAAAATTGAAATCAATCTGTAACGAGGTGCTTAGACCTCATTTTCTGTACTGCAAATATTTCATTTTCAAGTCATGCAGAGAGAAATACTGTAAGAATGGGATGTTTTGTAGCCTGCTTAACATTTGAGCTTACTACCGTCCGTACCATTCATCATCCCTACAGCAGGTATACAGAGCGGCATCCTCATACAGCTAATGCATTTCATTGTTTTCTTATTACAGCTATGGTACAATATTGTCCTATGGCTCACTGCCGCAGCTATCTGCTTAAAACGGATGCTGAATAATTCCATGCCTCTTTTATTTTATAGAGATTATTGATCCATTCCAGTCCCAGTTTGTTTTTGTGGATAAGTGAAAGTCAGATCTTTCAGTCTGCCAGGTGAGAAGTTAATCTCTGTAAAGTGCCGAGTTAATTACTCCTCGCCACCAAACCGGAGACAATCAATCCACTCTTCCTCTTATCCAGCTGTCTGCTGCAGTGGCATTTAGAGTTTCCTAATGTGACGGGCCATCACACAGCCGTCCAAAACAGCTGCAGCGGCACGAGGAGGACGCTATACAAGTCAGATTTTGGACACCCACACAAACCCAGAAGAAATATAAAAATATCTTTGATCCACTTTTCTCCTGTTGTTTTACATCAGCGCAGCGAGTTTGCCTGCATTTGCCGTTACAGTTTGTATTATACAGTGAGACACATTTATATACATAAATATATGCCATGAACTCTGCTGCAACAACTGAATACCCAATGTTTAATACATGTTTAATTAAAGAAAGCTATGACTAATATTATAACTGTGATTTGTTAGATAGTACAACAATATTAATAACGCTGGACAAACAATTACGTCGGTAATACAGACATAAGACTCCACACTTTCATATTTATATATATATATAAACTGCACATGTCACAGCCGACGGGCATATTTATTGACTGGAAGGTAAATCTTTGACCTTTGTTATGTTTGCTTTGAATAAATAATGCACCAGACTGGAAACACACAATATCATTCTCAGTCTAATGCCCTCGTTAATTCCAAGAGGAAGAGAAATGTCATTAAACAAGTCAATGTAATGATCTAGCACCTCACCGATGCAGACGATGTCCATGAAGCCGTACATGCCGTAGCAGATCTGGAACAGCAGGTCTTGTCTCTGCCAGCGGGCTGACGGGCTGAAGGAGGACCACACCAGCCAGGAGATACTGGCCATCAGGAACAGGGAGCCCAAGATGGCCGCTGCTATCTGCACCTTCTCTATCACCGTCAGGGAGATGGCCTGCCACTGCAGGAACACACAGACCACAGTAGGGCTCTCTTACTTTAATTCTCACTTCTCTTTCACACTGAAGCATTGACTTTAATTAAATGTATTATGTCAATAGATTTCACATCACTGTATTAGGTTAGGTGAAAGCAATAATATTAAGTTGAACCTATTTAAAATTAAGATTATTGCTTTCAACTAAACTTATACAGTGATGTGAAATCTGTTGACATAATAGAAAGCTATGATTAAAATAAAATCAATATATAAGTTTATCAGGCTGATAATCATTAAACTCCTAAATGCTGCTGAGGGAGGGAAAATACAGTTGTGCATAATATGTTTTTGCAAACATTCACATTATTTGTACCTGTCATTTAGTTAAGCATTTGCAGATTTGTTGACATAAAAAAACATTCAGAGAACGATACAGCTGAATATGAAGCACATATCAAAAAGTATTTTTTCACATCTCAGTGATGCCAGAAAAAAACCCTTTCAAAGCTCATTTCTACTCAGCCTATCAGGAAAGTCTAAAACTGAGAGGAAAGTCGCTTATGAAATCTTTCTGTTCTGGATATCAGAAGGGAAAGCCTTTTTGAATTCCAAAAACTTTCATCTTCAGTGGAATTCCTCGGTTTGTGATCAGACTATAGCGTGATTCCTAAAAAAATGGTGATTTGTCTCAAATACATTTTGATGTAAAATAACAAAAAGGCATCCAAATGAGTCCCAGCAGAGAACAGCCTTGGGCTATCAACTCCCATGATGATAAACACAGACAATTGTGTAACAGACATTTTAGTTCTAAGAGTTTTTCAGTTTTTTACTTAAGCTTTTTTATAGTTGCCCCTCATTATCTTGACTTTCTAAACGGCTTTTTTCTAAAACCCTACTATAACTTTGTCATGATTGCCAACTAGTTAGTCATTTCACAAAGGGGTAAAATCACTGCTTTTCAATCAGCTCTTTTGCTCGAAATGTCCACATTACTGCTCTTTACAAAAAAAGCTCACCTGTAGTGGGTTTTTGGTGCTGATGGCAATGACCTGATATTTGTAGTAGCAGAGCTCACAGGCCCAGGATCCTCTCTCGCTGATCCACTTGATGAGGCAGGGGTGGTGGGTGCAGCGCACTGACCCGCTGCACCGGCAGGGGCTCAGGAGCTCCCCCTGTGGGAGAGAGGTCATCAATACCAGCAACCGCAGGACGAAGGTTCTCCAATATTCAGATCATTTCAACACAAACATTGACAGTCCGTCGCGTTCGGATAATCGCTGCTGCTGCAGGTGAAACATGCTGCACTGATGCGTATATATGCTGATATACTGGGTTGGGTTTTCAAGCAGGAGAATAGATGTTTCAATGAAATGCTGCCAAAAACAAACATTTTCAGCCACATAATATGGCATTCGGCCATTAGGAGCAGCCGGAGCAGTGACTTATGATTCAGAAAACGCCTCTGTGTAGCAATCATTTACCTGCTGATAATCCTTTGTTTTCTCATCTTGTATACTCCCTTTAACATGCAATATACTGCAGGTTACACTATACACACATATACATATTTATTATGCAGTTCTTTGTGCCTGCTTATTGATTTTTTTGAGAGCTCGACAGTTAGATAAGCATGCAAGTGCACACACACATAGAGGCTACACAGCTCTGCACAGTCATAATACAGCAGATTTCAGGTGTGAAATGAAAGCTTTGCCTCACACCAAGTTGACAGGCATAATGCTTGATTTTCACACTTGAAGTGGAAGATTAGTCACTGAAGCTTTTATCAAAGAGCAAACCACAACAAAGCTGCGATGAATGTACACTAGCTGTCACATATACATATTATTTTGCAGTTGTAAATATGGTAACTCCACACAGACCAAACATAGGAAAACACACACATTTTGTGCATTCCTTTTCTACCTGCCCCTGATCTTTATTAAAAGGAAAAGGTAACATCTTGTGTCATCCATTTATATATCAGAGCAATTCAAACAAAATGTAGATGTATTGGGAAAGATAATATGCTTATTCTTATGTTAACAATCTTGAAATGTATTTTCTGAGGTCAGTCAAAATATAATTGAGGACATTTCAAGTCTGCCTGGTGACAGAAACATAGGGTTGTTTCACTGACAGTATGCTTGTATAGTGTGGTTAGCCTTTAGGCCTCAGTGGCCAGAGGTATTTTAAGTAGCTGAAAGAAAACCAGACTTTCACACTAGCACTCAAAAGCTGTTGGAGAGGAGATCTGTTTAGTAAAGCATTTGAGCAGGGCAGAAACATCAATTTACTCATGAAGAGGATCTCAGCGGTCAGCTCTTGAACTATGGAACCGTGTGAATATTTAATGAAGCATTACTGTCAGGGGAATGCGCTGAGATTTAGAAGCCCTATCTATATCTTGACCTACACGTGTTTTCAGTTTATCCAGTGGGGCTTGACAAGTTTTAAAACAGTCAGAAACCTATCAGCTAAAGTAATGATAGATAATTCACTTAATTTGGCATCAAAAGGTTTTCACTTTACAGCAATATGTGCTCAGCCTAACCAACCAGTCGTGCGCCATTCAGCCTGAGGACCAAATGAGATTTATAATCTCTTGCTCTGGGCCCTAAACTCATTAAAATACATTACTAGTCTTGTCATATTGGATATAGATGATGGCCCAAATGATGTATATTAAGCCTGCCGCCCTTTTTGGGACATGACATGCATTTAAAGAAACTTGGATCTATACAACTCTAATCAGGGTCGTCTTTAATAGATATTTTAATCTTAATGGGTATGAATAAAAAGCCTGAATGAAAAAATAAATTGGCCGACCTCCTCTGCTGCAAGAAAGCTCCCCACCCCTCTAAGCTAAGGCATTCCATTTTCCAAACCAAGGTATAGTTCATTCCATTTTAAATATCCCCTGTCCCTGAGCACCATGAACATGGCATAGAGATTGTGGGAAGAAATGCAAAACGCAGAGAGTTAAATTATTTCTCCACGGCATCTCTGAGAGACGGAGCAGCACCCTGGTCCAGGAGAAGGGAGGGGAGAGCAGGGAGTTAGAGCAGAAAAGGCCCATCTACAGATGGTCAGGGTGGAAGTGTATTGGCAGGAGCACCAGAACACTTCTGCCGTGTCTAGTGGGACTCAGACCGCTCACTGCGACTGGCCTCATTGCAGCCAAGAGCTGAACCCAGATCAGTCCAGTACAACTGAGGCTGAGAGACAGAGAGAGAGAGACTGATAACAGATGTGGCATTACAGCCCACACATACATAAAGTGATATCTAAATGTCACTTGTTGACCAAACAGCAATGGTTCAAGGAAAACAGCAGATCAACAATGTATTGAAAAGATTCTCTGGGCTGCAGAATCCTAAAAACAGCTTAGGACGCTTAATTTTCTCTTTATAAAATTGGATTCACTCCCAATGTATATAACGACATTAAACTAAATTAGAGGTGGCTATTCATGTCTCCTAAGGGTCTACGATCAATGCAAGGGAACTATATTAACTGCAGACAATAGGCTATTGCTGTTTAATAGCTCCCACAGAAACTGAACAAAAGCAATTTAAACAATAGGCAATGACATTCAGGCCACAAGCATTACTGCAATAATGCAGTCATTGAAAAACAGCTTCATATTAGCATCATGATCATTTTCAACAAGTCTGAGGGAAAAGAGTCAGTGAAAAATAATATTAAAGGTCATATCATTTCACATTTATTTACCTGTTAATGCTTGTCATAAAACAAGCTGGAGGATGTTCCAGTCATTGCTTCATTTATGGGAACCATTACAGTGACAGCTAATGGATATTTAGAAGTAATTTCATAAAGAAACATGGTTTATGATTTAAGTTTATGGATGTTCAGCTCCTGTCTGTAGACTTCAGTAAGGCCAACACATGTCCTGTGCTTGTGTAACTTGTTTATTTTCCATTCCAGAGGAGCCGTTCTATGTGCAGATGATGGAGCGCAGACAGCGTAATGTCTCGGCTCTGTGGGGCCATATAGAAGGAATGATGCTAACTTGACCCCTCGAGGCTTCCCATTGTGCCTCCGACAGACTCACTGCAAGTGCATTATCTGTGTTGTGATTTACGAGGGAAAGACAACCTTTTCTCGAAGCAGCATGGGACTCGCATATTATCAACATGCAGTTCAAATAAGGATGGGACAGTGAAGCTCTGGCCCTAAAGGGCACTTCAACATAATAGTGCATGACAACTCAGGGAAGGATCCCTTACATAAAAATATATTCCATGAGCTTTTTTTTATAATACTTTTTACATATCCTTTGTATAAGTCTGTGAACTACATGACCCTTTCTTGAAAATCTGTGTGATCTAAAGCTCTAGCAGAAAAAGATCTTACTCTTTGAATAACGAGGCCAAGATCTTGTCTGAAAGCACAAGCTTGAATAAAGCAAACAAGCCAAAGCCTACTGTAAAGCTCCTCGCTGACCTTTAGCTACATCGAAGTGATAATGAATTTAAATGTCTCAGGTTAGGTGTGTATGAAAAATACATGAATAACCTGAGGTATTGAGGTAAAATATGTATGACTTTGTGACATTGGCTAAGCTGTTTATTATACTTGTGGGAATGTTATTTAACTCCAACAGAAGAAGTCTGACTTGAAGGATTGTATTAATACAAAACTCTCATGTCCATAATATACACTAAATGTGTTATTGGTCTCTGTAATCAGCCCTGAAATGTTCCTTTGCTTAGTTAATCTAAAGTAGGAGATGAAGGGAAACAAACAGTCGTATTTTATACAAATCTGTATTTGTGTTTCTAGTGTCTCCTAAATTGTCAGGAAGGGATAATAACCCAAACAGGGACTTTAAAAAACTCTGGAAGATATCCACTTTATTTTGCTTGCAGACTTCTGAAGGGATAGCTCCATGGCCAAGAGCAATGATTACAGTGACCAATGCCTTTCAGTGGCCATTCTAAAATCAGCAGGACTTTGGTTATGAATCACAAAAGGAACCTCAAAGAAAACAGCTACAAAAAAAAGCTGACAGAATTTCGATTACATAAACTTATTACATTGTTTGGTGTCATAGTAAATCACAGAACAATAATTTGTCATTGGTTGTCTCTGTCAGACACTCAAGGCCCCTTTCTAGTGGGGTGCTTGAGGAAAGCAATGCTTCCCGTTCCCTTCTCTACTCTGTCTTGAGTATATCTCAGCCTTGGGGATGGAAGTGTTTTAGAGGTGCATTGTCAGATCAGATACTGGCTGCCTCGGTATATGTGACATGCTGGAGGCTAAAGGAGAACGGAGGATAACTAATGTCCCCACTGCCTGGATACCATAGTGACACACAGAAAGTCCACTCATCTCTCTTTTCAGATGGATCCTCATTCTCCTTGTTCCCATTTACACCTCAGCAGATCTATATCTGGACTTCACCCAAAGCAACAGCAGACACGGCAGGAAAAGGAAGGCCGGTGATGGGTAAGAACTTGCATAATGATAAGATGGCATGAAATCAAGTGCTATTGACTGTAATGTCTCCGGCAAACATCGATGAGATGAGTTTGAGGAGGCCATGGGAAACACTGCAAATTTAGAAGGAGGTGCTTTGCATGCACTGCAGAGTGTGCTGACTATCTGAAGTTTTTGCAAAAAAACATGGAGGAGGCCTTGTCTTGCAATCTCACAATATACCCAATGTCAGTAATAATTAAAAAGTCTGAGCTTAGAGGTGGAGTGATACACAGAATTGCTGTTGGAGTAATTAGATGATAAAACCTTGAGAGATTAACATACACAGTGCAATGACCATACACACAGTAAACCATGTTGCAGGGTAAAAATGTATGTTCTACACCTGTTATATTGCCTCACACTTTTTGTAACCTCCATACATCCATTACCAATTGGTGAGATGTGACATATTTGTCAATGTGTTCTCAAATGCTCTGTCAAACAGTGTAACAAATGTGTGTGCAAATTGCTAAGTACTTGCTTCTCTGATGTCATTTCATATCATTTATTGTGGCACACATAAGCCATCTTCTTAGATTTTCCTCTCTTGATTGATGTAGTGTGACATTATCATCAATATTGCCCTAAAGGGCTGTGCACATTATTTCCCCCAGTTTTCTGGTTTTTCATATGAGCAGCAGAGAGAGAAGTGTTATTCGATTTTTTTTTTTAGGAATTCACACTGGTTTGCTATAATGAGTTGTTACTGAATCCCTGTGCATTCTCCACACTTGTCAGCCATGGGGAGACTATCTTTCATTATCTTCCTACTGCTGTCTGTCTTTCTAAACCATGCAAAGGGCTGCGTGCAGGATCCAGTGGGATGCTGAGGGTTCTCCATATCAACCAAGACACTGGGAGTGGGTATTCTCCCTTCAAAGACCTCATGTAATAGAAAGCCTGTATGTAAAAGGGATGTTTTGGGGGCTAAATGATAAACAATCCCCTCACTTGGTTAGCAGATTTGCTCCCCAGCAGTGGGAGTTTCCAATCTAACTAAACATGACTGATTTCCCTATGATTCTAGTGAGAAGGTCTGTGTAATTAATGCATTGATCAGACTGCATGACATAAATATCTACTTCTCACAGTTATGCGATTTTCTTTGTATTTCCTTGACTTACTTGTTCTGGTCCCTGGAAGCAGATCCTGCACAGCGGGGTCCTGAAGCCGCTCTCAGAGTAGCTGGTGAGGGAGAACCGCTCCTCCAGTTTGCCCTTTGAGCAGTCATCGGAGGAGCTGCTGCAGCCGCGCAGGGCCACCGACAGCTCGGCAGCATCCACCCAGCCCGACCGCTCTCCGCCCGGCGGCCCGGGGGCTCCCGCTACAGGGGGGGTAACCCGGTCCCCTGCGGGCTGGTGGCTCCTCGTTAACGTATTGTTATTGTCGGGGATGGCGACGCCTGTTTGATGGCTTTCAGTTCCTTGGACGCTCATGGGGGTCAGCGGAGGCAGAGGTGTCGGTGGCCCGAGAAGGAGCACCCTCAGGTCACCGAGCAGGACGCAGCAGCGGCTCTTCAGCATGCCCTGGCTGCGCAGCATCAGGCTGAACCGGCCACAAACTCACAGCACATGCAGAGGTGCTGGAAGAAGACAGCATGTACTGGATATGTCCCCGTCATGAGCCAACACTTTCTCATATGGGGTCGTTGGGGTGCGTTTTCCAGCGTGTGTTGGGGCTTAAAGAAGTCTGCAGTTCTCTTTGTTGATTTATTCTAATTGAAAATATGTTATTGTTTCCCCACGAGAATGTACATCCAAAAGGCAAAGAAATCCCATCGATGCAAACAAGTGTCTGAAGCCATTAAGTTCAATAAATGTCACAGCTAAAAGAGGAAAGGCAAATGTTAGATTGATAGGAATATGCATTCAAGTAATAAGGCAACGGCTCGTTCACTCAGTGCCCACTGTCATTCATGGCTGTAATGGTCTGTCTGTTCTGTACAACATAAACTATTTCGACAGGCTTTTCCCTCCAGATTCACGACGAGTGCACAAAGCAAGTATCACATATGCCTTGTAGTACGATGGGCTGATATTGACTAACAAAATGCCAGCGATTAATCTGTAAATTCAAATATTCCAACACCGAAATGCACACACTTAATCAGCAGAGCTCTCAGCCTTTCAAATCAATCGATGTCGTGCCACGAAGCGAAATATATCTTACCTGGCGAGCTATCCCCATTTCCACAGCCTTAATGCTTACAGTTTATTTTTTTGATAGATCTCCTGCCGACTGCAGGTCGCTGGCAAGTCTGCGCGGAGCTTACATCCCCAATTATCGCATTTCCATGTCCGAGGAACAAGCCGATGGGTTTACATCCCTCCGTTAAAATCCAACAGCATTGTAGGACTGTCCTGCCCCGGGTGAAAGCATCCGTTGCCCCGGATTGTCCTGTGATCATTGGCTGCTGAAAAGGTGCTGCAGCCTCAGCACCATGATTCCTGGGACAGCTCCCAGACGCCGCACGTCACCTCCGCACAGTGATGCAAGCAGCCAAGTCATTACAACTGAGACAAATGCACAGGAAAATGGTATATCACTACTTTTAGCCAAGTCATTCATCACTATAGAAGGATGCATTATGTTAAAGGTCAGGTTCATGTTTTATTCCCAAAGTAGGAGAGCTTCCATCATGAAAACAGAAAGCAGAAATTATTAATTAAACAGCTCAATTATCAGGCAACACATGGCCAACACAAATTATTCATAAAAGCTCAGCTAAATAGCGTCACTTTGCTCAGCACAAATATCAATTAGGTTGAAAGTGGCTAAAACCTAAACAAGGATCACATCTGCAAAGGGAGAAATGGCAGGCTACTCAAATTAGGAAAAGCAATTTATTCTCCACATTATCGTCAATTAAAAAAACAAAACAATGGCCTTAAAACACTAAACTAGTGATGGAAAAAGTATTTAGATTGTTTGCTTGATTAAAAGTGGCTTAAAATGCAAAAACAGATTATTGTTTGTCATGCATGCAAGAAGGGTTTAAATGTTATAAATTAAGATAATTTACGAGGCCTACTTTATATATTGTTGAATATTATAATGCTGATGATCTTATATTTCTTAACTAAAGTATAGACTACTAAAAATCAAGTACAAGGACCTAAGAATTGTACATGAGTGAAATACTTGAGTACATATTTATTATTTTTCACCACCAATGATTATGCTAACTTTGGAGACCTTTTGATGAATAGAGAAATACAAAAGGTCACAATTCAGAGATGCTTGATAGAAAAGACAGAAACAGCGGGAGCAGTTTAGGGCAGCTGTGTGTCTTTCCTGGATGATTGAAATGAACACACTGTGTAATAATTTATGTTAGACTGCCGTCAGGCTAGTGGCCATGGGGCGAGTATTTAATGTATGCCAACAAACTGAGACAATAAGTAGCTCTAACTCTTGCTGCTTTTCTGTCTGGCAGGTAATTGCAGAGTAAGTGTCTGATAAAATAACTATTGAATACAACAGGGATGGAAGACAGCTGGATCAACACCACAACAAGTTAGAGAAAAATGTTTCTATTGTTGATATCAGTGGTGTAAAGTAACAAAGTACATTTACTCAAACACTACTCATACAACTTTGAGGTACTTGTACTCGAGTTAAGTATTACATTGTTTTCTACTTTTTACTTCTACTCCACTACAATTCAGAGGTAACTCGTGTATCTCCACTACATGTATTTAATAGGACCTAAGTTAATTTGCAGATTTGGATTATAATCAACACTTAAATTACTTGAGTTAAACATGGAGTAACATTCACAAGCTACCCTGCAGCATACAAAGTAGAATTAGCTGCACCTTTATCAGCTTTGATAACACTTTAATCAATGAATATTTGGATTCAACTGAACCTGAAATGGGCCAACCTGCATAATGAGTAGGCTACTTTTAATTTTGGTACTTTAAGCATATTTTGATGCCAATACTTTTCTACTTTTACTTAAGTCACATTTTAATTGAAGGACTTGTAGTTGAACCAGAGTATTCATACACTCTGGTACTTCTCCACTGACTCAAGTACAAGATCTAACCCTTTGGTATATTGATATGATATACTTCTGTTGGAAGTCTCTCCTGTCTCTACAATGCCAAGCAACCGACGCCTTCTCCACGTGCCCGCTTGTTTTTCTACGTCACTTCCTGCGCGGCAGTCCCTTCTCGAACCAGCTAACTTTTAGCAACATGTCAACTAGCTTCAAATGTATCGCCCTGCGTCGTTCTTAGACACTTTTAAATCCTTGCAGTCTTTAGATGGCACTGTTTGTCATGTGATATCCGAATAAGTGCTCACTTAAACCGCTGTTGACATATTTCTAGCTTATGTTGCTCAGTTTGACTGCCGCTAGCAACGTTATCTGGTACCCGTTAGCAAAGGAGGCTGCGGTTAAAGTTGACTAACTTTTAGGATATAGTTGTATTGATAGTCCTTTCATTGCATGGATCATGTGTTTCTAGGTAATTAAAGTGTTGGCTAACTCTGAGAGCCTCGTTAGTAGTGTGTTTACGTTAGTTGCAGCTAAGTAAACCATCATCATGTCTAATCAGCTGACGACAGAGCAGCAGCGAAAGATCGATGAAAACAGACGCAGAGCTTTGGAGAGAAGAGCACAAAGACTTGAACAGACTATCAGCGACAATAAGCAGACCCCGGCAGACTCCACCAATACTTCAGTGCAGGTACAGACCTCCAAACGTCGACTCGACTCAGATTCTGCTGCTGCTCCTCACAGAGAAACCCTGAGCTCAGCTTCTGCACCTAAACGGTTTGTTCCGCCCTTCAAAAAAGACTCTGGTTCAAAGCAACAGCTATTATCTACCTCTGGCAACACAATCCACCAGAATACTAACTATGCATCTACAAGACAGGTAAGATGTGTGCTGTAATGTTCAATCACTTATTATTTAGAGTAAAAATAACAAAGTATTTCCTAACTCTGTGTACTGTCTTTCCTTGAAGATACAAGTCATTGACCCACTTCCTCAACATGTGAGAAGCCCTGTCTTGTCTACTGGAGGAAGCTTTGGTGTAAAGCCGGCTCACCCCAAACCAAACCTAACCTCCAACAGCTCTGATGGTGCAGTTGTGCCTTTCTACAAGCAAACCAGTAAACCGTGCCAGAGTCCTGTGGCACCGCTTTCCTCCCTCTCATCAACTTTCAATGCTGTATCTGCAAAAAAGCCTGCCATCTCTGTAAGAGGAAAATGTGTAGCTCACACAGAGGGCCGCTTCAGAGTAGAAGTGGGCTACCACGCCCAACTGATTGTCGTTTTCAAATCCATCCCATCAAAGAACTATGGTAAGTATCTGCCAGGGCAAATACACTGGCAGACTGTTCAAAGATAGCTTTATGGTCCGAGCAAAGGGGGAATAAGGGTCTATTTCCAATGTATTTTATATTAAGCAACTGCAGAATTAACACTTAATTGCATATCAAATTGTTAGCGCTCTAGTTTTGAATTGGAGAGTTGTTCATGTTTATTTGTATTTTGGACTTATACCATACAAATACTGGCATGCATTTTGAAAATGGCCATAGTTCCCCTCAACCATAAGCCCAATTATTTGTAAGACTTTCTCAGGCTGATTTATATATTCCATATGCCTAATACAGAAATAAACAAAGCGGTATGATGATGATGATGATGATGTTAGTTATGCACCGTTATGCACCAAATAGGTCTGTGTATCAAACCTGAGTGATGACTTAATGTTTTGTGTTAGCAGCAGGTGTTGCAATTTTCAAATAATACCCAGCTCTTCTGCCACAATTCACCATCCAAACACACAATCATGACAACCTCTCCTGCAAGGCAAAATAACCAATGACTGAACTCACCACTATATAAATAAATCTGACCATTGTTTCAGAGCTTTCCTCTGCTAAAGAAACCACGTCCTGAAATCTTTCATACTAACCAGTAACAGTTTTCTAGATGAAAATACCACTTTTCAAAATGTAGTTTTTTGTACCATATGCCTGGTTTGGTATGTTCATTTCAATGTCTGCACTGTCTTATAATAAAGTCTTATCTTCTGCATTAGACCCAGCCACAAAGATGTGGAACTTCAGTCTGGAGGACTATCGAGTGCTAAGTATGAACATCAGGGAAATAATCATTTGATGCACTCCTTATTTTCCCATTAGCCTACATTAAAGGCATGAGAGTATTGGTTTTCTTCAGGCTGCTGCTTCATCCCCTCTCTTTTCTTTACCCTGTATTGCAGTGGAGGAAGCTGCTGCCGTGGCTTCTGCGTCTTTGCGGCCTCTGGAGGGAATGGAGGCGTTGGACGTAGCGGCAGCCACCAGCGCAGCCTGTGACGGGGCAGCACTGGGGGCGCTGCTGAAGCTGTGTAACGGCTGGCAGAAACCTGGGGCCACAGTGCAGGGCCAGTGCGTCCTGGTGTCCCCGACAAAGTTTGAGGTCGACATCGGTTACCATGTGGACGTGATTGCGGCATGCAAGCAGATGCCAACAAAGAGCTATGGTAAATAGTGAACCTATGCATTTAATACAATTGAATAATGGTGAATTTGTGTGATACTGACTTGTCATTTATGTTGTTGTGTGGCAGACTTGAAGACAAAAAAGTGGAGTTTTTCCCTTGCAGACTACAAGAGACTCTGTGAGTGTCAACATTTGCTTTATTTAGCCTCTTTCCCTCTGTGGTCCTACTGTCTCTGGTACATTTGCCATCTTGTCTGACCGTGCTGTGTTCCATACTCAGTGGATGTCCTCAGTGGGATAGCAGCAGTGGAGGTGGAGCCTCTGCCCAGGGCAATAGTCCAGGCTTTCTCTGCCAGGTTTGATGGGACAGAAGCCAGGTCTTTAGACGTCCCTGAGGCCGACCTCTCCAGCGTCGAACCCTCGCTCACCTGCAGCCTTATGCCCTTCCAGAGGGAAGGAGTCAAGTAGGTGCCTTTGAAATGCAATCAGTGCTCTTTTCGCAATAAATCAATACCAAGAGATTGCTATTCATCTAAAATGGGCTCAGTATTGTGCATACAAAGACAATCTTTTGATAAAAGCCAATATTTCTATGCCATTCCTTTGTGACTTTTTTCCGATACAGTATGATAATAGAGAACCGCAGTGACGCGAAGTAAACTCCTTCCGGTTCCTTCGTCAAAAACCAATGCAATTTCTCCATAGGATTTTGGAAAATAGCTGGAAATAAGGTGTGTGATTGACACACATTCAAGTGGCGGTTCACGTTTTGTTCAGCCAGATAATATCCACATGTCTACCCTCATTTTATAATTTTCGAATCATAAATCTAGTCGCCAGAAGCAAAATGCTAACGTTATGCTATAAACGAACTACAGCAGGGTCGCTGCTTCAACGTCACACCAACTTAAGATCCATAGTCAAACATACAGATTCTAAATTGTACAAGTTGAAGCGTTTGTTTGAACAGTTTGCAGGAGGCAGGTACTTGCTTTCAAGAAGAACAGGGCAAACAAACTTAGAGGAGTGTTTACGTGTTCGGTGTAATGACGTAAAACGGCCTGGACAGCTTCTGTAGTCCTATTCAGCCACTTGTGAACAACCATCGTTTTTCAGACACGTGAACTCTTCAAAAATCACCAGCGGGGTCACTGCTGATGGATTTAATGTCGTAGAACAACACGTGATCTGTCTCTTAAATTTGTGTCAAACACAGACCTTATTTTGAGCTATTTTCCAAAATCCTATGGAGAAATTGCATTGCTTTTTGTCGAAGGAAACACAAGTGGTAAAAATGCTAACTGACTGTCCTGGTTTTTAGGACGCGTCACTGCGGTTCTCTATAGATGAGATAATGGGCTGGATCAGTTTTTCTTCCACTCACTGTGCTGCTGTAGCTTTTAATTTGAGCATTTCCTTGTGTGCCGGTAGTTTTGCAGTGTCTAAACAAGGCCGCCTCCTCCTGGCGGATGACATGGGCCTGGGGAAGACGGTGCAGGCCATCTGTATAGCAGCTTACTACAGGAATGAGTGGCCTCTGCTGGTGGTGGCTCCCTCCTCTGTGCGATTCACCTGGGCCGAGGTAAAAGAAACATTCTGCAGAGTGAGCTTTAAAAGAGAAAATGGCTTAGTAAGTGTCAGAGGTTATCACTTTGTTTCAATGTAATTGTGTCATTATCGGTCTGAATTAATTCAGCAGTTATCGTCTTAATGATATTCTCCTGGCCTCCTTCGATAAATGTGTTGCCTTACACATTGTATCGCTGCTTAAATCTCATCATCTGCATTCTAGGAATGTTCATACTGTTCCCCAAGGACTGCTTGGCGCTGTTAAGTACTTTATCTTCAGTAGGGCAGATGGCAGTATTGAATTCTTGGCATCCATTTTCTTCTCTCATAGTTGCAGGTGATGTTTTGGATTGTGAAGGAATTGATTTATAGAAGATATGCTTAAATAGCGTATTCATTTGGCCATTATTAATCATAAAGGTCTGCTTCCCTGGATTTTGCTAATATAGCTTGTACCATATCTATATAGCTGTAGTAGGTTAGATGGACTTTTAGGTATTTCCCCCTTATTTGATATAATACATTAGAAAGTCAGACTGGTCTAAGACCACAAGGTCATTATAATGTCCCAACACTTCCTTGAATGTTAGTGTCTTTTTGTCACTGTTTTCCTTCCATAGTTTAGATGGTGTCTACCTAATTTCATGTGTCCCCTTTTCTCTGGTATGTTTCTCATCTTCTGTAGCTTCTATTCTCTGCTTAACTCACAGCAGCATTACCAACCTGCCACTAGCGGCATATTTTGAGCAGAGCTTTACTTGGCCTTCTGTCTATTGACAAGACAAGACTGTCTGCTCTCTAAATAGATATCTTGGATCCAACACAGTCCCCCAATCAGGAGTTGGAATCGCAGAGGGGGTTTAGTCACCGGAAGCCGGCCCATTAAAGGGAATTGACTCTGTCTGGCTCTTATCTCCACTGTTAGTCTTTGGCCACATCTACTGCAAAACATGGGAGCTATAACTTAGTGAGTGTAAGCCAAGTTGACAGGCGCATGGAGAGGAAGTAGATGAATTGTCAGAAAGATTTGGGCCACAGGGGATTTTTTCTTAACAAAATAATTGGTTATTTTTCAATTGGAAAGGCTTTGATATCAGTTTGTGAATGATTGGTGATTAGTATCATTCAAAGCAGCTGTCAGTCACAACGTGATTATGAATGTTTCTATGGTGTTCATATCAAATGTCACAGTCTGACTAATTCCCAGTGGTAGGGGATAAAGTAGAGCTAGTTCTGTGTTATTCTGTTGTTTCACTGCGGCTGTGACATGAGTGTCTCTGCCTGCAGGCCTTCAGACGCTGGCTCCCCTCCCTGGGTCCTGACAGCATCAACGTGGTGGTGAAGGCCAAAGAAAATCTTCACGCTGGTTTGGTCAACATCGTCAGCTACGACCTGTTGAGCCGGATCGACAAGCAGCAGCTAGCAACCACCTTCAATATTCTCATCATGGTGAGCTTTGCAGTGTTTAGAAATGGCTCACCTTAAGAATTGCAAAATAATGACTATGTTTTAAACAAAATATCTTATGTTGTCATTCTGTGCAGGATGAGAGTCACTTTCTGAAGAACATGAAGACTGCTCGGTGTAAAGCAGCCTTGCCTCTGCTGAAGGTGCGCATTGTCTTTCTGTTTTATTGGAATTCTCTTTTTGATTCAAAACTGATGGAAAATGTGCTCGGTTAAACCTAGAGAGGCCCTCTTAACATTAAGTTTCAAATCAGATTTGTTATAATTATGTGTTTTATTTATTTTAAACACGCAAATCAAAACCACGATTTACAGGGAAGCCAGCTCCAGGATGTTCTAACGTCAGATAACTATTATTCTTTAGCCTGAACAAAAAGAGGCTGGAGCCAGCCGTGTCAGAAGGAGTGGAACCAAACCAATATTTAAAGGGAAAACACACAATCTATCTCAGGGTAAACATTGTCTTTGCTACAAATACTGACAACACAATATTGAACTATTATAATGAAATAAATCCCTTTTCACACAAGATAAATACACTTTGAAACCAATGAGGAAGAATACATTTTACATGGTCAGTTTTACTCTTCATCTATTTTTGGCCTGAGTATTTCAACTTCAAGCCGTCCACACACTTCATAATTTCCAAAAATATTGAATAACCAGTTGCTACATACCAGATTTTCCTTTTTTAAATGTATGCATCGGCCACAGGTTCTTATGAGATTCCTGTCCTTTATCAAGGGATGACGGGATATAAATCATTGCGTTGCATATGTGGCGTATCATCTATTTCACTTGGTTACATTGATCCACAAACCAGCTGGAGCAGACACATTGCTGCGTCTGGCTCATGCTTGGGTTTTATTTCTTACCTTGTCAGCTGGATTTCCTCCTCAGTGCTCTGATCAGAGTTGTTTGTTCTTCCTCAGGCAGCGAAGAGAGTGATGCTTCTGTCCGGCACCCCCGCCATGTCCAGACCCTCTGAGCTCTACACACAGATCCTGGCCGTCAAACCCACACTGTTCCCTCGCTTCCATGAGTTCGGCATGCGCTACTGCGCTGCTGCACAGGTAGCTAAAGCCTTAAGACATCTTTGTCTGTCCAACTGTGATGCTGACTGCTGCTGAGCTGTGATTCCGGTAAATCTCAGAGAACATATAAGGCTTCAGGTGTAGGGATGGGTATCGTTAAGGTTCTAACGGTACTACTACTTTTATCGATACCGCTTATCGATCCGGTCTTTTAACGGTACTTTTATCGGCTATTTTGGAGAGAAAAAAGAAGGTAAACTAACTAAACAAACTGTGAACAAAACTAACATTGTTTTTATTTAAATGAAATAAATAATATTTCACATCAAAAGAAACAACAATGTTTTAACAAATCATATTAAATAATGTGATGACAGAACTGTAAACAGAATAGCTGAAACTTTAACAAAATAAAAGCACTTTTGCTAAATGTTTAGACAAACGGCTCGTGTTACCGCCCTTACATGCTAAACTCTTATTGCACTTTAGGCAACGAGCATTGTCCACATCGAGACGGGTAAAGTTTAACCGGCATTTTACTGAGTACCGGCACCTTGCCGGTACTCAGTAAGAAGTGCCGGTACCACATGGGTAAAAATCAGAAGTGCCGGTACTGCGTACCGGTGAGTACCGGCCCAATTCAAGCACTGCATATGACATATATTTTTTACTTGTCTCCAGTATCGATACAAATACCGATAACGTCGGAGCTTAACGGTACCACGGTCTTTAATAATTCAGCCCCGGGCCTGTTTAATACCGGGGCTCGGTACCCATCCCTATTCAGGTGTGGGTTTAGTAAATATTTGCTTTACTCAAACGTATAGGCTGTAGTTGCTAGGATAGGATGTCTATTAAGTGCGGGGTGAGAAATCTAACAGGTGTGATGAGACGAGCAGGATTGTTTACATGAAATGAGTGCACTCACTTAAACTTAATGTTAATTGGTGAACAGTAAATATATTGAAACTGTTTTTTAGGTGTCAGCAGATTCCTCTGATCTGATTTATTTTTTCTCCACTCCTCTTTTGTTGCTCTTCTATTACCACTTAATCTTCTTAATTATTTGTATTCCGTGGAAATAGGAAGCACGCTACATGATTAAAGGTCAATCACACCCTTTGATTTGGTCCTTATGACTCATTTTGTAGATTGTGGAGATTTCCCCATCTCTGGAAAATATCAGTTATTCCTCCATGAAGAGGCACAACATGGCTCTCGCAGCTCGATGGAGACTCTGGAGATATGATTTTTATTTCTGTGACTTCTAGTTAGTCTCTGCCTTGACTTTCATGAAAACTCCAGGGCTCTGTCTAAATACTCTTGAGGTTCTTCTGTCAAATTCTCCTCATATCTTTTATCTCCGTTCCCTCCTTCCACCATCATATATCCTGTTATCCATGTCCTCTCCTCTCTCCCTCTCTGTCCCAGTCGACTTGGGGGTGGGACTACTCGGGCTCCTCTAACCTGGGAGAGTTGAAGCTGTTGCTGGAGGAGTGTTTGATGTTACGCCGGCTCAAAAGCGAAGTCCTCTCGCAGCTTCCTGCTAAACAACGCAAGGTTGTCACGGTGACAATAGAGGGTGTCAACGGCCGCATAAAAGCTGCTCTGTCAGCTGCTGCCAGCCAGTTGGCCAATCAACAGCGCAATGTAAGTTAACAATGTTTCTCATAGTCCTTGAGAAAACTCATCAAGTCACATCATTTAAAGTTCTTGAATTGTTCACAAACCTTAAGTCAAAATGTAGGCTTTCTGGTTCCAGATTGTAAACTAAACATTCAAACTTAACTCTCTTCCCCGCTCAGAGTGTGAAAACCAACTCCAGATTCTCTCTGTTCGGATCAAGGTTATTCTCTATATTTGCCATGTTTCACACCGTGTCCACATTTTTTATAGAAACGGAGAACAATAAAAGCAGGACACACTCTTCAGAAACAGTATCTTCAACAGAGAGGGATTTTGTTTGAGTCTATGCACTGTTTTGTTTTTAAATCCTACTCATTGTGCCTTGTAAGAGATCATGTAGGGAAATTACAATTCTCACATCTTCAATCAAACCTTCCAAAAACAAGAAATACGTAAAATCCTGACAAATACATCAGTTTGTCAGAAATACAACCCTGAATTATGTTCGACGGGGAAAGACTCTGTTGGACTTAGAGTAATGGAAGATTCTTCTTCTATACCAGAGGACTTTTAAATGCCAAAGTATTCAAAACCCAAACCTGTTGATAAAATGTAATAAGAGAACAAATAAAAGGTTTGTTCTACTTGAAATGTAATCTTTGTGATTAAAACGTCATCATAGCCCAAAAAACATTTCAAAACGGTTAAACCCAAGAAAGTTCCATGAATTGGTTAACTGAGAGTCCTTTCAGGCCAGGACTCAAACGAGAGCTTTTCAAACTGACCCAGAATACCCCAGCAAGTCTTATTTTAGGAATATTTTGACACTGAGTCGATTAGCGTGATTCTTTATTATCACACTGCTCCTCAGAGTAATGGCCGTCTCATCAGATCATCAGTCAGAATCTACTGTCAGTTCTTATCTTGTGCTGCTCTTATCTCTTTTTTCAGAAGAAGGAAGAGAAGGACGCCCTCCTGGTCTTTTATAACCACACAGCTGAAGCCAAGCTGCAAGCCATTATGTAAGAGCAGACCCTCTAACAGTCACTAAATCAAATCAGCACTGAGATTAAAATGTCAAATGAGTCTTTTGTCAGGCCATTGTGATTGCGCTGGTTTTGGAGATATCGTAAAGAGTTTTCACTTGAGGACTAAATATTTAACTGCTTTCTATGAAACTGAGTTTTGTTGTTTCTGTCACCGCCAGGGAGTACATCACAGACATGCTGGAGTGTGGGAGGGAGAAGTTTCTTGTGTTCGCCCATCATAGGTTAGTCCTGGATCATATCAGCAGCGAACTGGGAAAAAAGGTGAGTCAGATGTTTGGATACGCACAAAAGCTTAGTATGAAAGAGAGAGTAGCTGCGGGGAACAAGAGTGGGTTGCACATTTGAGCTTAGTAATACTACTACTATGACTTTAATACACAAGGGTTGTTCATTCTTGTTGTTGATTTGTGCTGGTCTGCTTTTAATCTCTTCTTTCTCTTCCTATAGAATGTGAGTTTTATCCGTATTGACGGCTCCACATCCTCTGCTGATCGGCAGCTGCTGTGTAATCGGTTTCAGAGCTCCACTCAGACCTGCGTGGCTGTTCTCTCCATCACGGCCGCCAACATGGGCCTCACGCTGCACGCCGCCGACCTGGTGGTCTTCGCTGAGCTTTTCTGGAACCCGGGGGTAAGCAACAAGTTAATACTGCAACATGCTGTGCACTCAATGTGACTATTTTACTATGATTGCATTTTACTTTGTAGTATTTTCCTTTTCAACTCAATTTTTGAAGTATCTCCCAAACATGACAGACAGAGAAGATTTACATAGTGGTGGTTGAAAAAAGCAAAACATGTAGTAACTAAAAAGCCTAAGGGAGCAAGACTTGCATTCTTCGGTGCCAATTCATTGCCGTCTATTCTAGATCCATAAATTGGCAATACTTTGCTAACAGTTTAAGCATTACCTCTGTGTAACATAATGGGCTGTCTGTATCTGTCAGTGTGTTTGGATGTTTATTTGCCCTTCACTGGCCAACATCAAGGCTGCACACCTGCTGCATCACCTGCAACGTTAGGTAGTGAATTATAGAACACTTTGCTGTTATCCAAAATGAACTGATTTTACGTGGCTTTTCTTCCAGCCAATATAGGAATGTCCCAGTCCCTTTTCATGCCAACAGTTTGCAGTGACAACAAATGGCAGTACCGTCCAATGGGGCTTTCTAAAATTGGGCAGGATAAGACAAATCCATAAAAAAAACTCAATTCATAATGATATAATTCATTTTCAGCTGTTGGCGGCTTTTTCCCTGAACAATGACTCAGCATGTTATTGACTTGTTCTGTATGCAGAGCAGTAGTCAACCTAAACCTGAATAAAGATTTGGTAATAATAAGATTGCAATTGCTTTCCCCCCCTGCAGGTTCTCGTGCAGGCAGAGGACAGGGTGCACCGTATTGGACAGACCAGCAATGTGAACATTCACTACCTGGTTGCCAAGGGAACAGCTGATGATCACCTGTGGTATGTGTCGATCAGTGGGAAGTGAGACCCAATTAAACTGATTTAGAGTTTAAGTCCTTTTCCTCACATATTCATAATTCTTTCACTACTGTATTGGGGCGGGGGGGGGCAAGGGCTCAGGCAAGGGCTCAAGGCAGCGTTGATTGTCTGACACAAATATTGTGACAAGGAGTGGATTTATTGTTCCTGCTCTTTTATAAGAATGTATATCTTTATTGGTCCAGGCCACTGATCCAGCAGAAAATGAATGTCTTGGAGCAAGTGGGATTGTCTGAGTCAAACCTCTCTGACAAAGCAGTAATCACCAGCTTCCACTCTAAGGTAAGCTCCGCATCCGTATAGAACAAAATGTATAATCCTGTTCACGGTTTTTAAATAGGATCAACATATTTACGACTCAGTACAACAGAGCTTACCTAGCTAGATTAAAATGGTGTCAGTGGATTTAGTGACCGGATAGTTTGGATTTGTTCAGGACCCTAACCAAAGGAGCATCATGGAGATGTTCCAGAGGTCTTTCACTGCGGGAGACGACATGGACGATGCCCTCTTACTGGAGGCTGCAGACGACTGGGACGCCCCCCCGCCTGAAAACAGTTCTGCTCAACATCACGGTGTGGCCGGACAGAACCCCAGCAAGAGGAGCATCAAAGACCACTTCAGCAGATGACTCTGAAACTTTCCCTATTAACATCATTTTGTTTGGACTTTTTAAACAACTTGTGTTAAGCCTATCATGACTTTTCAGAGATACTTTTTGTAAAAGATGTAAAATAACTGAACAAACTTATATATGTTTTTGACAAATGAGAAAAAATTAATAAATGTGTTAAAACTTTTAACTTGACATTCTCGACATCCATACAGAGTTAATTTCTTAAGAGTACGTTTTTTCTCGACTGACCTTCTCATCATTAAGCTTTAAACGGGGAACAAATTCAAGCCTGCATCGTAGAAGTTAAAATGGATACAGACGGTTCAATGTCGCCAATCTAAGATGGATGTGCAGTATAGTCTTGATTGATTGAGGCTATTGAAAAAAAGTACTACCTTTTTGAACTGGCAAATTTATTTATAGATCTTTATTTTAGATCTCTATTATAGATCCATCCCCTAAAGTTTGTACATGTCACGTCTTATTGTATATTTCATGATTCATAGTGACAGATTTTGTGTTTCCCCATTATGTTACAGAATCAGCCCCACAATAAAAGCGAAACGAGGATGATTCAGTTTCCCTGCTCCGGATCGTCCCTCCCTTCTCTCTGTGGGCTGCAGGGATCTGAATTATGTTGGTCACCTGTAAATCACAAAGGAAAATTAGCTCAAGTTATCTTAACGCGACCACTAAGACAATAATTAATAGTAATGTTCCCATTCCTCAGCTATAGGACACAAACCTAATGGCATCATGAGAAGATAGACACAGTCCCATTGAAATGATCCTCCTCAATGCAGCCGTCCTGATTTACTTCTCTCTAGACGCAGTTTTACAACTCTGTGCCAGCTGATGTTCGGGACATGATGAAGATCAATGGCCTCATTTATCTGTATCTGAAGAGAGGCCTCTCTTGCTACTGGAAGCAATCTCATTTTTCATTATTAAGAGACTTATCTATTTGCTGGCTACTCAGACTCCTGACAATGTTATAATGACTGCACCCTTTGTCACAAGATCCTGGTGAATATGCATCCGCCACACAGAAGTCTGGCAAATGTCTCGCCTCCAAATTCAATTTGAGCAATGTTTTCCAGAATGTCTCATCTAGTGTAGCATCTTTAACGTTGACATAGCTGAGATACGGACTTTGAAGGATCATTCTCTTAAAATTGGAACAACTTCATACCTCCATGATGGTTATCAGACATTTCTTCAGTGGAAGATCTGGACGTTCCTGTGTTTTCATCTGAAGAATTGTCCTGCTCTTTCTCTGCAAAAAAATGTATCTATTTCAAGTCTTAGGTTTCAACAATTTTCTTTTCAATGATAGGAAATATAGCTGGGTGAAATATCGTTTCTAGCAAAAAGGGTGTGTAAAAGGCAACAGGAAACAAACTGTGAAGTGCTGTTTATTTGTAGGCAGATGGTGTGCCAGATGGAAGAGACTGCCACACACATCATGATTACCTGAAGTGATCGTGTTAGTCCCTCCATCAGCGGTGAGCTCTGCGTCAGAGCAGATGTCACCGAAGATAAAACGGATCTTCTCCTCTGCATGCTGCTCATTGGAGGAGCCGTGGACCGAGTTGTGGAGGATGTCGGAGGCAAAGCGCGCCCTCAGAGAGTCTGGGGATGTTTCCTTTGCTTGTTCTGGGTCTGTGGGGCCCATTATGGCCCTCCACTCCTCCACTGCATTTTCCTTGGTGAGTACAAGCATCAAACAGGGCCCCCTGAAACAAGCAAGGAAAGGAAAACAGACCAAATGTTGTGTCAATTCTGTTCTTTGACCCGTTTCCCGGTGAAGCCTGATTATGCATTCAGAGGACTGTGCTGCTGTAAAGTCGTGATGGATCGTTTTACATGCTGGGCTAGTTTATATGAGAGTGAATGCTGACACATGCTTTTTGACTGAAGAACCTTAACTATTCAATGTCAATGCAACACTTTCCAACTAAGAGGTGAAAGAGCTATGCACCTTTTTATTATTTATGTTTGGGCTATCAACTTAGTGTGCTCATTAATATATGAAACAAACAACAAACATAACAAACCCCAATTTCTACGCCCAAATGAATAGGTAGAATAATGAAATGACTCTATAACATGTCTCTTTTTTTTTGTTACGAAAAGCATCGTTCCCCAGTGTGAATACATTTGGAGAATTGCAGATAAATATATTCCTAGACATGTAGGCCACCCCTAGTCTACAATATGAAACCGAAATTAGGCTAAACCTGAGCTAGCATTGAGGGATAGACAGGAAAGGTGTTTTTCTGAACTGCCCAGCTGCACATATCTCTGCAATTTGTAACCCAGCAGTTTTGTAACAGCCAAGTGAACAGAGCTATCGGGGCGGAAGAAAACTCAAATATTCCAATGTGCAAATGGAACAAAGAAAGAAATTGAGACGGACTTCATAGCAACTGGCCTGAGGCTGCCTCGATTTGAAGCAGCCAACATGACTGTTAAAACTTCCAGAAGCAACAGAATGAGGTTTGCTGCGGTCGCTCTGCTCTTTTCTTTTGACTGTGTTCGGGTACAAACTTACCGACACATGAACTCCACCAGTTGTTTAAAGAAAGGCTTTTCTCTCTGCTCTTTGTAAAACTCCTCAGCCATGTCCCTCGACAGCACCGCCTCCTTCAGCTGCGTTACAGAGAAACCGCTGCCCCTGATCTCCTGCAAAATGTTATCTGTTAAGAGTCAATAGAAAATGTAATATTTATTATTCATGCACATTTTAACAACACAAGTACATTTGTATATTGTTCTTGATGACCCAAAGGTACCTCTGTGTTCCTCCATCGCATCAGGTTTGATGACTGCTAGAGTTTTCTGTTTAGGGAAGAAGAAGTGAATCTCTTGTTCGGCTGCTTCCAGGCTCTCGCTGCCATGCAGCTGGTTGATGGGCTCGTTCTCCAAAGCAAACTGAGCCCTTAGACTGAGGGAGGAGGGATACAGAAGTCAGCTCTGCAGGGAGCTACCATCAATATCTAATAGCTCTTATTTGAGGGTTTCATGGAATTCTTTTTGGACTACGTCGTGTGCTTTCTTGTACTTTTTTTCAGCCTGCTTCTACTTCAACTAGTGGTTTCCACAATTCTTAAGATTGCCTTCCAAGAAATGGCAGAAACTGGAGTGAACAGAAAGAGATTACAACAAATGTTCTCTCTAAAATGTGTCTTTGCCTTTGGCTGTACTACTGTCAGAAGAGAAACTGTCATTGTTGAATTCCTCCTGCGTGATTGTAGAACGGCAAGCCTTTTCTGTCTATTATTACACTAGTGATTTAAATAACCTGAAAAAACCTGACAAGGTTAAAAAGAGGTCAAAAGAAATACAGGGTTCTTCCTTAATAGCTGTCGGATCAATTTAAAAATGAGAACTCTATTAGTAATGTTTCCACAGCGACTTCATGACTCATTGACGTGTGTAAATGAGTAGAGCCTCACATCACTCACCATTCAGGATTTTCATCTTTGGCTTCATTAACGTCAGAGGGACCAAGAATGTTCTTCCAGAGATAGACAGCTCCCGTTCTGCCTAGAGCCAAAGCTAGCACCGGCCCACTGTAAATACACACTTGTTTAATGCACATCTGCAGCAACATACTACTCTTTAGAATGTTTTTTAGAGCATATGTGTGTTACCTGGTCATGCTTCGGAGCAGTGCAGGAAAATAGTCCTCCTCAACGTGTTGGAAGTAAAACTGTCTGACCTGCTCCTCTGTCAACAGCACATCTCTTTGGAGAGCCACGGTGAAGCCTGACTTATGGATATGAGCCAAGATCTCCTCTGCAGAATTGCACAAATAAAAGACACAATCATTTGCCGGTTTAGGTAGAGAGACATCTGGCTACTACGGCAGTCATACAATAAATCCTACAATCATGAATGTTTTTGTTGAAACAGTTTGAGCAGATTGATTTTGTTAGCAGTTTGTTATTGTATTGTATTAAACTGCATTGGTTTTAGCTAGGTGTATCTTATAAACTGGCATATTCTATTTTAAAATAATGTAAATAGCCAATAGTGATCATTCAATGAAAGAATCTGGAGCTGCAGATGTTTCATTCAACACCTTTGATGTGGAACTCAATAAGCAGTCCCACCATTTCACTATGAACCATCTTTATGCGTGTGTATCTGCGTTCGCATACGTGTGAACTTGTGTTTGCATTTGGCCCCCGACCCCACCTCTTTTTTCTCTGGCAACGTCAGGCCGGATGAGAGCCAGTGTCCTCTCCACACGCTCTTCCTCCCCATCCTGCTCCGTTGCTGAGGCCGTCCTAAAGTTGGGGAAGAAGAAGGCGAGCTCCCTGCTGGCCTGGTCGATGTCCTCACTGCCGTGCAGGGCGTTGAACAGTGTCTGTGTGCCGTATTGTGCCCGCAAGCTGCAGGAAGCCAGGGGGGAGAGGAGAACAGATGGTCGCTCGGCTGGTGCTCAACCAGAGAGAAGCATAATGTTTGGCTGTGTCTGACGGAGCATGCGAGAATCTGCTGTTCATTTGCTTTATCCGCCTTAAGCCTGAGATGGTTTCACACAATCAACCGTGTGTATACACAAATGCTCTTCTTTACAAACACTGAAGGATGATCTTATCATACCAGATCTTACAGTTGTAACTCTTTTTGTGAGTGAAGTATAATTTCCAGCAAACTAACCTTTCTGGTTTTTCCCTCCTGGCTTCCTCTATGTCTGCTGGACCAATGTACTCCCGCCATGCTGGGACAACGTTAGCTGAGCCCTCAACCTGAGAGAGAACCAGAACGTGGGACGGACCACTGGACATAAACTGCACCAACTCCTCAAAGCAAGCCTACAAACCACATAACAACAGAGACAAGAGAATACACACATGTTAGGCAAAGAAAGTGTTTTTAAATCAGGCCTTACATTTACAAGGTGAAAAAGAATAAAGAAAGGCGGATCAAAAATATATTAAAATATTGTTCATTGTTTTTTAACTAGCCTCTTTCCTCATGTTTTGTATTTCTGAATCTCGAATCATTTAGTCTCTTCACAAACAGCACGATAAGCAAAAAAAGCAACACAAAGAAAAATCTGCTTACACAGCAGACCTATTTTAAGCCCTGTGCAGAACTGCAGATGGAAGTGTGATGTATTGCAAACTAATTGCAATGATTTTTGCACTGGTCGTGACTGCCCTAGCATTAGGATGTTTATTCAGAATGTAATTGCCCAGACTAATCACACAGACGAGTGTGCCAAACACAAAGAATGTGTTTATGTCAACTGTTTTCTCTCATGTTTGGGTGAGATGTGCTCTTTAGCTTTCGCTCCATACCTCTTCTGCTTTATGCTGGTAAAAATCTCGAGCCTCAGCCTCAGTCAGCGTGCGTTCCTCTTGGGCCAGGATCTCAAACCCAGCGTCTTGAATCTAGCCAGGGGATTAACGTCAGGTTAATGAACTAATGTCAGCAGGAAAGGTTGAGGCAATATTGTCTTTCAGAAGGTGAGCAGTCTGCGTACCTTCATTATGAGCTCATTTGCCTTGCCGTGAGCAACAGCATCTGGTTTTATGATGGCAACTGTGTAGGATTTACTGGCAGGAACTACGGGAGAAAAAACAGCTTGAGTGATGGTTGATAATGCAAAGATGAATCATTATGACGCTGGTTAACAACCGTTATTATCAGGGTAACAACATTTGCAGTATAAGGATAATGACAAAAAGTATATAGACCACAAATAGTATTATAGCGTCTCCACAGTACCTATTATGCTGTCTTCTTCTTCTGACTGCTCAGGCGTCCTCTCCTCGTCTTTTTTCTCATCCTCCACCAGACCTTCATCTGTAACCTGAGGGACACAAAAATACCAAATAAAAACACTATTCCCTGAACATGGGTGTGTACAAACACTGCAATGCCATTGATTATTTTAATGTTGATTATTCAGCCAACAATTTTCATCTAAAGAATGCCAGAAAACAGTGACAAATGTGCATCCTGGGAATGTTATGACCAACAGAAGCTTATCAAGGGTCAACTTGTTCCTGTGACTTCTTGAGAGGTTCCCGTAGCAGGGGAGAAGTCGAAAATGTCAATAAGTCAAACCACTCATTAAGTGACCTGTAGACTGTGGTATGGGTGTGTTGGCTGGCTTTGAAGCCTAATTATTTTATTTGGAAAAAAAGCAGTAAATGAACACACACAAATGTACCGATTATTTCAGTAAGCTAACGGATTCAGCTGCATTTATAGAAAATATTTTTTTCTCTTTGTCTTATTTAATGTCGACAGTTATGTTGCAGTGTTTTTCTGTTGCTTCTGTTTGTAGCATGGTGTTCATTTTTTATATATATCTGTTCTAAAAGTTTAAATAAAAGGCAAAAAACAACGCAATTAATAATATGTCTTAACAGTTACTGATTAACTTTCTCTGTCGAGTAAGGTCATTTTAACAGAAAGACATTTGACATGTCATAGAAGGAAAAGCACAGGAGTAAATAAAAAAATTATAGAATTTGTCTAGCTCGTTAAGTTTAAAGACCTCCAGTGTCTTTTTTCTAATCATGGCTGACTGGGATACTTCCCTAGAATTAAAGTCAACATGCTTTGCCTAAATTGGCATTTCTGCATTGATGTATGTTTATGTATTTCTGCTCACCCCTTTGCGTTCAACACCTGTCTCCAGGACCAATTTCTCCTTGGCCAGTTCCTCCACAATTATCCTCTGAAGCAGAGGAGCGTTGGCCCCTCGCAGCACCGCCACCAGCTCCCCACCCTGTTCATTCAACACAGTCCAATTCAACTAAACAAGTGGTAACATATTGAAATGCTTTAAATACTTTAGGTCCATGTAAGCAGGCTCAGGAATAAGACAAACTCTATGAAAAGATAATACACAGGAGATAATGTAAAAAGAAATATAGACAGGAAATAAACTTTAATAACTTGAGAAAGAAAATGTTATACAAAGGAAGCACAGCATGGAAACAAGCATTTACTATACAAGCAGGCAAACACAGTATATACCACACACACACACACACACACACACACACACACACCCCATAGAAGAGGAAGGTGGGCTCGCATTTCCCTCTATACTTCTCCAAAGTGTCAATGCTGTCTGCCTCGGCCTGCACCAACACAAACACAACAAAAACATGTTTAAGGCTGCTCCTCTTGTTTTGAAATTTAAATTGTTCACATTTAATTAGAACTTACTGTGGCAAAATGCAATAGGTCATCAGCCAGTTCGTTCTTTATTTTCCGTAAGAGACTAACCACAGCTCGACAGGGGCCGCACCACTGTTGGTACACATCTACAACTGGAACAGACACGGTGTGTGAGCATTGACAGTCTATATAAAGTGTGTGATCGAAGGTGAGTGGACTGGTGCAATCATTCAAACTGCAGTTTTCCCAGTGAACACAGTGTGGCAGCAACATTCAATAAATTCAACTCATGACAGTCACCATTCACATTTGTTTTTCACTTGTTACCAGTGTATGCTGAATTGATTTTTTAAAAATGGACAAGTTGTCACCTGTCCCCGAGACACAGGCTTCTAAAACATTATACAGATAGATACGAAGATGGACTTAAACTGACATACTACAGACTGGTTTACTTATATAACTTATGCGAAGGTTACATATTTTATGATCGTTTTACTGTAGTTACAAACCTCTTGTCAAAATGGGCCTTCCTGCACATGGGAATCTGTGTCCAGAGAAAAGGGGGTAAAGTTCTGGTAGAGTGGATGATCTGGGTGATCTATGTGATTGTGTGGCTTTGCGTGTAAGGGATGGATGACACAATTGGTTGGGGGTAGGAATACTAATGAGTGTGCTGATTAGAGTACCTTGAAAAAGCACTCACTCCCCTAGGCGTTTTTGTAATTTTGTTGATTTAGTATTGGGAATTATAATGGATTTTTACTTGGATTGTAAGAAATTGACCAACAAGAAGCAGTCTTGTTTTCAAATATTCAAAAAATTGAAGAGCATTGGGAACATTACCCCCTTTACAAAATAAGCCACATTATTAGTGCAACAGGATCTGACACCTGATCCAACAAAGCACCATTAAATGCATTATTATAAAACGAGAGAATATGCCACCACAACTGTATTAGTCATTTTAAGATAGGACCAATACCAAGGGACCATGCAAGGAGCGCTTTAATCAGAGAAGCAACCAAGAGACAAAAGATAACCCTGAAGGAGCTGAAACTCTTAAAGTGGAAATTGGAGTATCTGTCCATAGGACAACTTTTTAGCTGTAAACTTCACAGAGTTTTGCTTTATGGATGAGTGGCCAATGCTAAGAAAAAACACATGGAGTTCCCCCAAAACTGCATGTGGGAGATTTATGGTGGTATGGTTTTTGAAGCCCTGCATGGACTGACACCAGGTTACATCTGTGAACCCAGTGCCAGTTCATCCATTGTTGGCCTTAATCTGTGGAATAGTTGGCAACTAACAATTATGTCCTTAGATCCTTAGCCTCTATTCAATCCTTATAAAGACATGCCTGATCACATCCTGTTTTTCTTGGTTTCTTATGGTTTTATCAATACATGCTAAGCTTTTATTAATTTACTTATAGTGTATAGTTCATGTCAGTATCACGCCTGCTTTGCTTATCCAATCTTTTTGTAAATCACTTTTGTCAAAGTGTGTTGATTAAATGTGCTTTACTAATTGACCTACAATCAGGTTAGATCTGAAGTTCTTACCTGTTAAACCTTTGGTTGCAAGCATCTCTTCCCACTGCTCTTGGTTTGTGACAGACGCCTGGAAAAATACAAAAAAACAAATAACATCAGGGCTTCGTGAAGTTAGTTGACTTTTGTCAACATTACAGACGCCATGTTGTGTTTTTTCAACCTGCAAACTCGCTTCTTTCTTCTTGCCTGCCATTTGATTAGTTAATATTAAAGTTTTCAATCTACATGAAATGCTAGAAACCTTATGCTGATTATTACATCCAACTGCTCAGCTGCTGCACGCACTTGTTTGGCCCCGTGGTTGCTAAGCAACGAAGCCTTCCGGGGAGTTCTGTTTTTCGATGGAAGTGCACTTCATTAAAATCGTTATCTTGTGTTGTTGTCGCTATTATTTAACTCAAACGCCGGTCTTGGTTTCGTATCGCCAAACAGTCTGGTTAGTTTTAAGACACATGGCACTCAGAGTGAGAGCTAGAACTACAATTCTTCTTCTTCTACTCTCTTCAAATGCGTTGCTGTTCCTAGGGCGTTTCCGTTTCCGTCCCCAGAACATAACATGCATAATAAAAAAGTATCAGAATTAGGAGCAGTGTCATGCTCTTTGCAAAGACTACTTTGTAAACTGAAAATGATTATATTATTATATTTTTAAATAACATATTCAACAGGATATAGTATAATTTGAATGTGCTGAAGGCCATGGGGAGACCACAGTAAGTTACCACACTATATCAAGTGTATTTTTGATCACATATCTCAATGAAGGGGCTATGATCCCCTGAACTTGATTATTTCATGATGATTGTGCTTTTTTATAGATAGTTTTGATAGACCAATGTTTTAATGTGTGTTATTTTGCAATCCGCTTTGATGCCATGGCCCATTTGGCATGTCTTTGGCTAATGCTATGCTAAGAATAAAGTCCTGTTAATCCTACATTGCATTTAGCTGAATTGTTTACCAAAGCAACGTACATACACTTCTTTACCGTAGACATGCCTGGGGCAACTTGTTGTTAAGTATCTGCCACAAGGATGTTGACTACAGGGGCTGGGGATCAAACCAATGACCAAACACTCAGTTATCCCAATTAGCCACCGCCTCATCAAGATGTCTCAAGTTACAGGAAACAACTCATTTTGCTGTGTTACCTTCAACCCTGTTTAACTCAGTTCTTCGTTCTTGCATTTATGAGTAAATTCTTAGGACTTCGAAACAGTATGATGGAAAGAGAG